GGTTTAGGGTTTAGGGACCATATAGGGGTTATACAGAGATAATGGAAAAGAACATGGAAGCTACTATTTAGGGTTTAGGGTTTAATGCAGACCACTGATTAACAAACTCCCTCCTTTCAAGGGCCTTGAAATTAGGATCCCTATTATAACCCCTATTAAGGGGAGTGGATTTATTAGTTAGGGGTCTGAGATATGGGGCACAGCTAGGGAGTAAACTCAAGGGGTATCTTGAGAAGCGCTCAAACTTTAGGTTCTTTTTTGGGGAGTCTTGCTGATTGACTGCTCAGAAGAATTGTAGTATGTTCGGAGTACATAGTGGGCCCCCAGTTTTGGGAAGGACCCATCTGGGTGTTGGCAGCTTTGGGTTTGATAAGGGTGGTACGGTGTAGAGTGTGTGTTTGGGATTTCAGATTTCGAGTATTTTAAATGCTGAGGGCTGCAAGCGCTCAACACGCCCATCCTCAGAGGAGTAGGGGATGTTAAGGTTCCGATGGGGAGCAAGACGCAATTTTCCTCAGACGCCGTGCACTTGCCACTTCAATGCACCATTAATTTGCTTAGATAAGTAGTTTCCAGATTTACAATCTGAAAGATGTGTTACTCCTCATTCTGGGAGCCGTCAAAAGGGACCCTTGGCTTTGGAAACCCTGTACCCTTCAACCCCATGTCGCTCTAAAGCCTCTACTGAGGCTCTATATATATATAATAAATAGAGCGCTTATATCCGCGTCAAAGGGGCCCCTGCAAGTTTCGGAAAAGACAGGATACTGTTCAGAGGAACTGTCAAGGTCTGCCTGCACGCGACTACAAGCATGCTGATTCCTTAAGAGGCTTTTGGGTTTAGAAACCTTAGAGGGTGCGGAGCCGCACACTTTCGGGACCCTGGACTATGTGGGGATTACAGGGGGACTTGCAGGGCTTGTCTAGAGTCTAGAGAAACAGTTGCATTTGGTCGCGGCAGCACTACAATGTGTGCTAAATATGCTCAATCAACCGTGCGCGTTGCAAGAGTGTCCAAGTCATAACCCTACGGCACTGACTGTCAGAATCACATATTCATGCGAGCGAGTTTCCGAAAATTGTTGTGTTTGGATTGTTTTGGTGTGCTTCTGCTCTCCATATGCATGGCAATGCATGGTACACTTCAAGGGCTTCTTGAATGCTCTTGGCCCTGCTGTTGCTGAAGCTAGCCGCTAGCCAGTTTCTACCGGTTATGACCATTGCTGGGTATGCTGCCTGCATAGCTGCAGCAACTGCTGGCACGTTCGATTCATTATACTTGGGTATGAACTTATATCACTGCTTATTTGATTCATTCTATTTGGGTATGATTTGCATTTTCCGGTTGTTTAATCCATTTCTGATATTGGTATTTATACTAGCCTGTAGGCACATGATGCAAAAGCTGCCTCCTGCTGGCACTTTGCTAGCGGCTGCTGCTGGCATCAATGGAGGGACAGCTGGCCTCTTCTGGTACGAGACTTGGTCGGATGGTAGAAATGCGTTCTTATGGGTGTGCCATTGGCAGAACGGCTTATGGATGATGATGAGTGGTCTTGTGACTGTCACGGCAGAACAGTACTTACTTTTCACATTTCCCTGCTGCAGCCTTTTCGTATTTTGGGGACTGGGACTTTTGGTGTGCAAGCAAATCGGCGTGTGAGGACAAGCGTCAAGCCCGAGAGAAGAAGTGGCGGGTAACAGAAAACGCGCTGTGCGCTACCGCGCTGGTGGGCGGCTGGCCAGCTGGGTACTTTGCAATGCAGACCTTCCGGCACAAATCAGCCCGGAGCTCAGCAGTTGCTGCAACCGCCAAAGAAGCGCCAGCACAGTCCATAGAATATAGTTCTCATATCATGACATGCGGGTAGATAAGAGCTGAGGGCTGTAAGTTAGAACAGCACAGGCTTTTTTTTGATAAGATTCCAGTTAGCAAACCCGGAGGCGAAGAAGAGCTTCCAGGACAAGTATGCGACGGCCACGTCTTGCAATTTGCTGTTGTGCGGACTCCACCCGCAGATCCGGCGCCGGCTTCGACATGTTGTTCTGCGGTGGATGCGGAGAAAATAAATGCTCACTCCTGGGAAGCTACGGTGGACGTAGGGTAGTACTGTTGCCACACGACGTGGCTCTTGTGAATGGGACAAGCAAGTGGACACATTTCGCTGCATCAACAGCGAAGGCACATCCGGAAGCACAAGTCCTAGCAGCCTTGACGACAGTAGGCGAAGTGAAGGAGCCATGAGCCTAACTACTGAAGTTGCCAACCGGCAGCCTTCCACTGACCTTCCTGCACACTTTGAGCTCCTTGATTAGCCAGAACACCGTTGCATTGGTCACCTGCACTTGCGAGCAGAGCGGAAAAGACAGTGAGGCAGACATGCCCTTGGCAACCATTGGTGAATATCAATGCTGCAAATTGCAGATGCTTCATATCTTCCTGTGATTAGCCGTGGTTAGCACCCTGCACGCCACCATGCCGATCTTAATTTGGAAAACTGACATGTCGTAGTCCAACTGTAATGTCTTGTCGTAGTTTCTCTGAGCAACACAGACGCCACGACCTCCTCGTAATCCCCCATATATCCCTGAGGGCATCTGAGGGCCATATTTTTGACAAGCACCTTCTAGAGCGTTGGCTAGGGCTTCCACTCCTAGCAACAATGTCCGCTGGTGCGGATTTCTGGAAACTGGGAGGTTCCACAAACAGTGGATCACAATATAGACCCTCATATACCATGACCCTTGTGGTTCAGGATTCCAAAAGGGGCCTTAGATTTTGGAAGCCTCCACATGCTCCCCGGGCGTTCACTGCTTAAGCTGGATTACTTGAACCTGCAAACTCCACAAAGGTTATCGTACGGTGCTATAGAAGGTTGCAATGGAGAATCAAATGGAAAACAAAATCAGCAAGGTGACGGAAACTGGTTTAATTAGGGGTGCATTTAGGGACTCATGTAGAAATTGGTAGGTTCTCCACATTGTGGCCTTTTGGGGATCCCCTTGTAAAAGTATTCAAAACCGATCCAGTGCTCTCATAACCCATAAGTTTCCACCTCAGGCACGATCCTCCAGTTTCCAAATGTAATGTAGTCCACCTTCATAAACGAGCAACAGCCAGATTTTAGCATGATCACTACACCCTTGATTGCAAGCCTTAGCCGTGACACCCTCAACAAAAAATCCAAAATCCCGAATGGTCAACCTTAACCCGCAACAGATAATAAGCCTAAGCCCTAAACCCTCAACAAAAGATCCCTATTTGCCTGAACCTCGGCTGGCAGGCGGTCTTCTGGCACTTAGCCGAGTCCTCGTCGGTTTTTCCTGTAGTGAAATGGTTTAGGGTTCAGGGTCATGGTTGGGGGTGTTTGGTGGTTTTGGTGGTGAGGTCTATCAGATGCTTAGGAGCCTAGTAGTGACAGCGCTTTCCGGTGGATGCCAGGATATGAGGGGGTGTCCCAAAATTGGGGGTACCTTATTGGGGGTCCCATAAGAAGGATTATAATATATTGGGGTCTATATTAGGGTCCCCTTATTTGGAGCCTACCATGAATAGAGTCTCAACTTGTCTGGGCCGCTTCCACGGTTGCCGACAAAGAAAAGGAAGAGCTCATGCGGGCAAAAAAGCAATATACTGAGCCTTGTGATGGTCAGTTTAGGGGTTTAGGGTTTAGGGTTTAGGGGTTTAGGGTTTAGGGTTTAGGGGTCAGCAGCTAGGAGCAAAGCAAAGAGTGCTGAGCAGCTAGGAGGAAATCAGAGACTGCTGGGGGATGGGTTGTCTGGTTGTCAATGATATACCCTAAACCCTAAACCCTAAACCCCTAAACCCTAAACCCTTGTACAAACCTCTTGTCTCTCAGGCTAGACCTTAGCGGTTCAGAAGCTGTGCCCTGAGGCTTTTTTGAGGCTCGTCAGCACGGTTCCTGATGCATCGGCAACTATATGATTCTGCTTCACCAAACATTTGGGGATGTCCGCACCGGGGCCAATATAGACCCCGGTGCCCTAGACCCCCCAAAAAATCAAAGGTTGCGAAGCTATGCCATGCTGGGAACCCTAATCCTCAAAGCGGCCATCAAGAAAGCTTCGGCGCCAACATTCCTAAGCCCCGATGTGGAGTGAAATATCCTCCTTTAGGGTATAGTACTTTAGACGAAGAATCTTGTCGAACCTTGTTCAACCACCCAGAAATCAGCACTCAGATAAGTACCTTCGTCGGCGTCCGGCGGATTGTCTTCGCCCTTGAAGACTTCCAGGGCACTGAACGCGACGAGGTAGCTTGAAGCTTTAGATTTTCCATTTGTGTCATAGTCTAAACTCCTTAAAGGGGGTTATATAGGGGACTACTTTAGGGGTTATTAAGGGGGATACTAGGAGTTTAGACTATAGCTCATTTGTGTCATAGGTTTGGTGATTGCAACGGGGTTCGGAGTATGATTGTACAATGGACTTGCTCCCTCTTCGCATGGATGCAGGTCTTTGGGCACACCCTACACCCTGCATAGTTTATGCACTGAGCATGGCCGCAACGTTCCCTGGGAGGTGAAGCATGTCCTCACAAAGGAGGGCATTAACACAAGCCCCAGGCGGCCGGCCCCCAGTCGGGTGCCAAGCACAGGGTTAAGAGATTAAGGCCTGGGTAGGCCTCTGGGATATTTAATCTTTTCCCTATTGGCTTTAATAAGGGACCCTATATACCAATATTTTTCAATGGGTTTTAGGGGCCAACCTAGAGGCTTAGGGCTGACTTTTGGATTACTCGTGAATTTCCGCAAAGGATAACTATGCAATCCAGAACAGGGGCCCCAAATGTCGAAATAATCGCCATACATAGGCCACATGTATCCTGTTCTGAACAACTCCCACCAGTATCAGGGCTGCATCCCCGCATGTCTGGCAGAATTCGCAGAGTTGTCATGCAATCTGCCCGGGGCATATGTCATGGTGCCTACCCCAAATAAGATAGGCTTCACAGCGCTAGCTCCATAAGCCCTAAACCCCATAATTTTAGGGATCCCAACATGACCCACCAAGTGCAAAACCCGAATTGGTACGCCCAAGCCCGCATGCCATGACGCACCCCGATACTCCGAGTTTGGAACTATGGTTACATGGGGTGGGATCAGGAAACAGGTAGGTGCCCAGTAGGAGCCCATGGTGAGGAACTTAGATCCCTACACCCCTAGTACAATCCTTAGCTCACGTTTAGCCCTAGTTTCGATTTCATTTTCCATGTCATGCTCCATCATCCCTAGACCTTAAACCGTGAAACCCTAAACCGTAAACCATGAAAGGTACTTTCCATCTCCTTTGTAGTATGTACCCCCTTTTTTCCCCCCTTTCATTGGGCACCTGCCTTACATCCAAGAATCCCTTTAAACCCTCATGCTCCAAGCCCAACCCTAAAGCCTACACCCCTAAACCTTAAACCCCAACCCTGAACCCTAAAGCCTACATCCCCAACCCTAAACCTTAAACCCCAACCGCAAACTCTTAACCCTGAACCCTAAACCCCGCAACCCTTAACCCCAAAACCCCCAACCCTTAACCCTATACCCCCAACCCCCCAACCAGTGACCCTAAACCCTTGTGCTTGAGGTCCTGGCCCCCCCTCGGCTGGTGGCCAGGCATGGTACTTCCCAAAATTAGGGGTACCTTAAAGGGGTTTTTGGGGGGATATATAGGGTTCTATAGGTGAGATACAGGGTTGAGGGATTAATGTTGAATCCCGATTAGCGCAGGGGCCCCTATAAAGTAAAGCTTTTTGAAAATTATTCTGAAGCCCCTATTCCATTCGGGGGGTCCCATTAAAGTATGTAGAAGTTGTTCTGCTGGAAAAATGTAGGGAAGGCTTTGATGAGGCCGCAGGGCTTTTGGGTCTAAAGCCAGGCATTTACGTGAAAAGGATAGACTCTGCTACCTTTCGCGTCTGGAATCCGATGCCACTAAAAACAATCGATTTCTGATTAGCCGCTTATTTGGGCAGGCGGGGCGATCAAATTCCAAAGCGGGTAGTTCAACAGAGCCCCTGACCCTCAATGATATAAATGATTTGGGGAGCTCAACAATGTAAAGTTGTTTTTGGCCGGGCGAATGGTGAGGCCATTCAGAGTTGTTTTTAATTGCTTTTAAGCATTAATTGAGTTTGAAAAAGATTTTCTGCGTTCCTAATTAGATCGTAATGGCTTTTCATAGGTTTTCAAGGCTAGGAGGTCTTTCAACTTTGAACATAAAGGCGAGGACCCTGATCTTCCGATTCTCTTGAAAGCTAAACTGAGCAAGTCCTTGTGAATTCAATAAAAGCTAAACCCTAAACCTTTGATAGGAGCCATAGGATCCCCAAGACCTCCAATTCGCTTTGAGGCAATTTTATGATAGCCTTTTTTTGGGGGCGGCACACTAATCCCGCTCCAACATGAGCATTTTAGGGCATAGGGGTTTCCCAAAATTCAAAACTAGGGGTACAGTATTTTTTGGAGGTTCCAATAATGAGGATGATCGTATTTGGGGGTTCTATATTCGGGTCCCCCTTATTTAGGGGAACTACCGTAGTAATCAGTCTGGCCTCTGCGGTACCATGCAGTGCATTGCAATCCCGGTATCATATCCCAAATGATAATGGTAGTTTCCATGTTTTTTTCCATTACCCCTATATAACCCTATGAAAGCCCTAAACCTGAAACCTTTAAGCCCGAAGCCAAAAGCTGAGGCTTCAGAAGGCCACCTGTTGAAATTCAGCCCACCCCCTTCTCCCCAACGCCCCGTAACCCACTGTTCTGGCTCTCATTAAGAACCTTAAACCAAGTCACCACAACGGGCCTGCAATATGGGTTTTTAGGGGTTGGGGTTTAGGTTATGTAGGTTTACGGTATATAGGTTGACAGGACCCTGAAGGCCCACTTCAGAGATCTTTGAAGTATCAGCTCTCGTCCCCACCCTCTATGGAGATATGGGGTTTAGGGAATTAGGGCTTAGGGTGTCCCAAAATTGAAGGTATTTCTTGGGAGGTTCCAATATTAGGGATAATAGGGTTGGGGATTCTTTATGCCCACCCCCTTCACATTCAATACTTCAATACTAGTCACTAGTCATTAAGACAGTGGGGACTTATCCCATTTCCCATTTCCCATTCCCCTAAACCTTAAACCCCCATCTCACTGTTGATCAACCTTGCGGATATCAGATATACGCCTTTGCCAGAGGACCTGTTTGTCAGGAATAAATGCCACGAGGAGCGGCAACTGCACAAGAGCAGCATTAATCGCGGGGGATCAGGGCGGTGGTTAAAGCTTCATTCCCGGGTTGAGATCCAAGCAGTTCCGGCCCCGGAGTTTTGATTACCAGGGGGTGGACACGTGGTGTATTATCGGGGGAAAGGATGTTTTGATGATAGGGCGGTAAGCGTGTTTTATGGTAGTGGGAAGGGATTCATTTGAGATGATTTCTACAGGACGGACGTTGTATACAGAGCATATAGATATGTACCTATCCTTAAGGTTTTTGAAGCGCCCACACCCCAGACCCCTACACCCCTAAACTCTTAACCGCCTGAAAGCCAACCCCTCAACCCTAAACCCCAATCCCGATCCCGAAACTGAACCAGGTGCCGCTTCATCCAGGGCCGCAGCTTGGGGGGACACTAGAGCCTCTGCGGAGCTTCGACCAAAGTCAGAGGCGGGTTTAGGGTTTAGGGTTTAGGGTGATTTAAGGTTCAGGATGTAGAGCGAGAGAAATTAGAAGATAAAATGGAAACTTTTATAGCTTCAGGGCCTTTTAAAAACGGAGAGTCAACTGCAAACTACCCTCATGTGTGGGGCTTATAACAGGGTTTAGGGTTTGGGGCCTGATTATTTAAACTCTTAGAAAATCAAATTGGAAAGAAAATGGAACATGAAATGGGCGCTGGGTCCATGCGTGGGTGTACAGGGGATTGAATGTTCAGCAGAATAGGGTTTTCGCCAGGATAGTTCTTATGGGGTCTTAGTAGTACATGGACTCCAGAAATTTGTCAAAATGTAGAGATTCTCAGTAAACCGAGGTTTTTCCTGAGGGATGGGATTGTTCAAGAGCTTCCCTCCTGGCGGAGATTCTGGCACTATTCTAAAGCAGCCTTGCCAGTCTTACGATATGGGCTGTTCAGGGAAATCCTCACGAGGAGCGACTGCAGTGTTACTTGCCGATTGCCGTTGCACAGTCATTCTACATTCTCGCGCCGCAGGTATGGATTCATTTTGCATGCTGGTAATGGCGCCGATTGTTCAAGAACACAATGATGGTTTGTTGCCTGTACCGCCATTAAGCCTCTCTGACCATGTTGCTGCACTGGTACTGCGATTCCTTCTCAAGCTACAACTACCATTGCCAGGATGGATATCATTCTGAATGCTCTATGCCCAACTGGCCAAGCTGCCAACACCACCAAAGTCACCACGAATCTTCCCACTTCTCGAATCTAAAGCCAGGCTTTTTTTGGGGGGGTGGTAGGCCTTAGAGCTCCATCATGGCAAAGCAGTCTTGCAGCGTGCCTCTAAGGAATTTCAAGAACGAACTATTGCAGAGGCTTTTTGTAGCTGCGTAGTGACCATCATCACCTGCGTTATGCCTCCCAAATTCTTAGCCCCTGCCCAGTGAAAGTGCGCACTCCGCGCAATCCATCTTCCTGGCGCTCTTGGCAATGGCGAGCGGTGTCAGGGAGCTCGGCATACAAAAATCAGTTCAAGATTGGCACAGTATGAGCTATAGTCTAAACTCCTAGTATCCCCCTTAATAAGCCCTATAGTAGTCCCCTCTAGAATCCCCTATACAACCCCCTTTAAGGACTTTAGACTACAGCTCATATGGGATCTGAGATTTGGGGTTCAGAGCTGTTGAGTTCATGGTTTCTGGGAGTGTGTCCCTGGACATGGGTTGTCAGGTTAATTATGAGAAAAGTTCTTGAGAGTGTTACCTGCATTGCCGCCCACATTAGGGTTTAGGGCTTAAACCTTAAACCCCTAGTTGGGTATTGAAGTGGATTTTAGGGAACATATTAGGGTAATATTGGGGTTACATAGGGATAATGGAAAATAAAATGGAAACTACTATGTAGGGTTTAGGACGCATCGAGAGGCGAAGTCTGCTTTCCTTTATACAGCGGTTTGGGGCTTTCCCCGGGTGCGGCCTGACAGTTACTGCTGGTCAGCAGGGAATGAAAGAATGGAAAACGTGGAAGGGTAACGTATTATTGGAGATCATATGGGGAGCACTTTCTAGAGGTAAGTCCGTTGGCCAGATCCTTACCACGGAATGTTGTAGGCCAGCGGTGGGGGTCCAGCCAGCTCAGCCTGCTTTCTGAAAAGACCAACATACGGCTCTGTCAGAAGGCGAGAAGCGCATGAACAGTCCCTCTGTAAAGTGACTCTCCCTACACCCTAAACCCTAAACCCTAAGCCTTAAAGGGGGGCCCCAAATGGGAAGAAGGGCCCTAGTAGGCATTTTCCTGTCATATTCTTGGGGTTCCTTTTTTGGGGCAGCCTTGGGAGTCCTTTTTTTCCATACAGAATTTCAGCCCATGAGCTTCACAAGCCATATAGGGGTTTGCTATGGTTTAGGTTTTGGTGACTGCACATAAGAATGTTGGTTCGGTGATTAGAACCCTAAGCCCGAAACCTTAGGCTTGTTCTGTGATAGGTGCAAGAACTTGCATCTTTTGCCGAGTTGTTAAGGACAGCCTGGATAGATGCAGGTTAGGCAGAAAACATCCTAGGGTCTAACAACCTAGTGAAGCGTCCCACTGTACTAATAAACGGACCTCAAATTAAAAACCTATCATATGATGGTTATAGGGCTCTATGGTGGTTGGGGTTACCAAAATCCTGTTCTTATATACTTTTCCTCCATACCCGACAAACAACTAGTAATTACATGTGGACGGACAGAAGTGCGAAAGACACTGTGGTGTCTCCCATCTGTGCTGCAAGTAAATTTTAGTGCGAACTTACAGGTGCTATGCCTGACTTAGTAAGTAGGTGAAGAACGGGAAGAACTCGGCTGTTGCATGCTCATAGCGGTTGTCAGATACTTGCTACGTCTCCCTGACCCTCCAAGTAGAGTGCACGTGCAGAATGTGGATGCTTTTGAGTTGATGGGGCGAAAGGTCAGTAATACACTTTACAGCCAACAGCTGCAGCAATGCAGGCTTTGTCACCTGTACAGGATTGCGCAAGGCATTGGTTTTGGGATGCTTCTGTCCCTGAGGCACTGTAACCCTAAACCCTAAACCCTAACCCCAAAGCAGGGCCCACGTTGTGCCACCGCCACTCCAAACCCTGAGGATTTAGGGTTTAGGGTTTGGGGTTTAGGGGTTCCCACTGGAATTTAGGTCTTCCGGCTATGTCTAGGGGCTGTTCTTTTCAAGGCCGTAGGGAATACATTTCCTTAAAGTGGATCCTAACCAGAAACGGAACCTACATTATGGCCATTTGGAGGACAGGTATTTTGAACATTTTGAACAAGCCTCATGTAGATCTTCGTCTGAGGTGGCAATAGTCATCTGCTACTTTGGCCAAGACACCATGGAAGGCGGCGCGCTTAGTTCACAGACTTCTTGGTGAGGAGCAGAGTAGTCACGACCCTGAGACTTTCGGCGGCCATGAAAGAGATGAAAGAGTTTCCTGGAAAGCTGAAACCCATAATACTGCTTGGGACCTAGCTTGGACCTCAGACCCTCAACCCTTTCGGATTCCCTTCTATTCCTACTATTATAGGTACCTAAAGGGTTAGCCCGTAATAGGTATCCTAAGTGCCACGTAGACTATAATCCCATTATAGTAGTCTCCATGTTCTTTTCCGTTCTCCCTATATAACTCCATTATAGTAGGTTCCATTTTCGGCATCCCAATATGTCCCCTATATAACCCCTATATCCCTTTTTAAGGTACCACAAGCTTGTTGCACCAGCCTGAACCGAACTCCACGTAAGATACGTTAAAAGGTAGAACCCCAACCGCCAAGACAAAGCTAAGAACAGCTCAGATACACTCAGGGTTTAGAGTTTAGGGTTTAGGGTTTGCATCAAGACCTTTCACTGTTGCCCATAAGCCTGCTCTTTGTTCGGGCTGTTTTCTCGTAGAAGTTGAATTGCTCGGTCAATCACGCGTCCAGCTTTCATGACAAGAGCATGGTTCCAGTCACTGAAACCGTTTCTGGTTTAGTTCCTTCATGCAGCATTCAACATTTTGACAAAAAAATATCGTCTAGCGGCTAGATGGCACAGAACGGCCGGCGCTTGAAATGCTCACTGCATCTGCTGGCCGGGAGCACGCCCTTTTCCTCCTGCAGCTCACCTTGTTTGCATCTGCACAAACTGAGCTTCCAGAGCTGATATACACAGATGAGGGCCAAAGCTTCTCAACCCATGGCTACAGCCCGAAAGCTTCAGAAGGAGGCCGTGGTTGGCCACTTGCTGTGTTCTTACATGGGACCAGGCGGGAGCACAACGACGCCTTTGCAACAGATGCCGCAAAGTTGCTGGCTGACAGTGGCTTTGCGGCACTATCCCTGCAGTATACCAACCACGCATACCCTGGAGGCTGTGAGGACTTCGATCATCGCACTCAGCAAGTTGCAGAAGGCATCCGCCAGATTTGCGACATGACCGACCTAGGCATCAACTGTGCCTTAGGTGTTGCTGCAGTTGGTTTCAGCCTCGGCGGCCAGATAGCTCTAAAGCTTCGAAACTTCAATGCCAACGTATCAGCCGCGCTGTCAATCGCAGGCTCCATCCTCTTCGAGGGCCAATGCTTGATGAGTCATCATTTCACGCTAGACAGATCAAAGCGAAGGATTACAGTCGGCAGCGCGGACCGTCACTACGGCTCTCTGCTGAAATGTGTGGGTAGCTCTGGGTACGACTGTGGTGGTAATAACTGCATCCAACCTGATGGATCTGGCTTCTACATGGTGACGGAGGAGGAGATCGGGCGAACTCCTCACCACAACTACTACATTAACCCTGACACGCAGGGCATGGAAGAGGATTTCAAGCACAGCAAAGCCCCTTGGGGCTTCACTGCCGGCGTCCAGTGGCTTGCGGAGGCAGCGAGCACCCAGTGCACGCAGCCATGAGCCGTTCCCATGAGCAATTCCTTGTTCTGCTGTTGCACTCTCACAAAGAATGCTGCGCAAACGCGAGCAGATGCCTCAGAGAATGGAAACCTGGGTGTTGAGCACGTCGCGGTCTTCACCCACGCACATCAACGTCGCGTTCGCCACCTCCAAGAATCAGTTGCTGCCTCCAAAGCCGCGGCAGACCAATGCAGTGGGTCCATGATAGCGGAAAAGAGCAGGTCTAATAATGAACTGCAGGGAATTGACGTGGAGGGAGTGCCTCCTTTAGGTAGGGGGCGCGGCAAGGATTCTGAACGGCACGCTCAGGTGCCCAGGCGCAGTACTTGAGCCCAAAGAAGTTCTGGAGTCATGTTAGCCACAATGTGAGCTCAAGGGGGGCTATATAGAGGATTATATAGAGAACTATGAGAGGGGTTATTAGTGGGATTCAGTGGGATACTAGGAGTTCAGACTATAGCTCATTTGAGAAGGTCATTTAAAGACAGACGGCGTGCTTAGCTCAACTTTGGCCCCAGGGCCTCGCCGTATGTGGGGAGAGGACATGCCCTGGGTCTTGAAATCCAACGGAAGGATATGCCAGTTTCCAGAAACAGGGGGACCCAAAAGTATAGACCCGAATATGCTAAAATCCTCAGTATGGCGATCCCCAATAGAGTGCCCCAACACTTGGAAACCCCCCATGTGGGTTGTTAGCCCGTGACACGCCTGAGGTTCGTGGAGTGCTCTTAACTACGAACATATCGAAGGCGATGCCAGAAAACCTTCCCCAACATTCTTCCAGGGTTTTTAGACCCCCTTAAGTAGATAGAACATGGGGTATATGGGGATCTTATTACAGTATACCCGAAGCCATATTCTATCCACTTAAGGGGGACTACAGGCTTTAGGGTTCAGGTCCCAACATTATTCCAGAATCCCACTAATGCGATTCATTACATAGTACAGCATTTCGAGCAAGGCTTCAACCCAAAACCCCAAAGCCTAAGGGTAACTGCCGGGTAATTCACGTGCTTAAGTGCTGTGGGAAGCTCTGCAAGAGCTGTAACTCTCTGTGGGCCTCTGTGTTGGAGCCCTGCACCACAGACGGGGTTTAGGGTTTAGGCCTTTTTAAAACAAGACTTGAAGAGGAGCAGCCTCCCTGGGGTTTGAAGCGCCCCACACATACTGGGATGCAAACGGAATTCTTGTTTGGAGGCTCCTTGCGTTTATCTGGGTTACTGTTAAGGAACTTAATTTAAGTTCCTATATTGGGGGAACCATATTAATTACTATATATACCCATTATGGTAACTTAATTTAAGTTCCTTAACAGCAACCTAGTTATGTGGGCCCTTGCAAACCAGGTTTGTATCAGACCCATGGCACAATCCCTGCCTTTTCTTCAGCTTGTCTACTGAAAACAAGCTCTGAATTCTAAAAAGTTCTACCCTATACCGTAAAAAAAACCCTGAACCCTGGAAAAGCTCCTCTTGTTTCTGGATGCATGTCTGAGGCCCATTGGATGCTGAAGACTTGGAAGACAGGTTTCCCGAGCCTTCCGCGCTTTGGGTTTTAGGGTTTTAGGGCTTATGGTTTTAGGGTTTCATGGTTTAGGGTCTTAGGGTTTAGGCTTTTAGGGTTCAGGTGTTTAGGGTTTAGGGTTTTTGGGTTTAGGGCTTTAGGGAGTTTAGGGGCCAATCGAATTGGGTCTAGGGTTAAATCTAAAAGGCTACGTAAGTAGCAAGAGTATGGTCCTACGTTCCTTGTAGAATTGAAACTAGGGTATGTACTTCAAATGGACCTGAAAATGATATTGGCTTTTTCGGCCACTGCAGTAGAGTACTGCGTTGGTGTTCATCATCGTGGGCTCCTGCCAAAAAATTGCAAAACTTTGAGATATCCTTGCGTGCGGGTATGTCCCAAAAAAGAGCTCCCCCGACAAAAAGCCTGACGGCAGAGTTGGCTTCCTGACAGGTCCATGTAGTCCGTAGGAGTGTATGGTAAACACCCTCAAGTGTCCGCATATGGACCGATTTTTTGACCGCAAAGTCTGTCCACGTCATGACATCGATCTTCAGTGCGCAATACAAGCAAAGAACCTATCTGGAAGTACCCACCTGCGGCTGGCATCTACACGGAAATCATGGATCTGACGGCAGCGTTGAAAGCAAATGCCAAAACATAGGCGTTAGCTTCGATTGTCCTGTCAGGGCCCATGCAGTCCGTGGGAGTGGTCAAGCATGAGAATGTTGATAACACGTTGACATATGGTAACTTCCCTGGGTCTAGGGTTTCGGGGTTTAGCGTTTAGGATTACCCCATTGGACTATATAAGGCAATTTGTTATCTTTAGTGTCGCGGCATCAAAAGGGTACCCTAAATTTTGGAAAACACCCATAATTCTGTTGCATACCATCATCAAAACTGGAGTTGCGGCTTTGCAAGTGGGGGCTGTGGCTTCGACCAGGGACCTCCTAAAGTTGCTTGAGAATCCCTATGTGACTATGTGGTAGTTTCCAGACTGGAAGGGACCGTAATACAGACCCAAATTTATGAACCCCCAAGACTAATTCCAAATTTGTGGACAGCTCCATGTAGCTCTAAACCCTAAACCCTACTCGCTTCCCCAAAAGTCCCAAGGGCTCACAACGCCTTCAGGGATTTCGGGCGCGAAGCTCGAGCGCCCATGTTCCGAGCCGGCGGCGGCCCCGTGCAGGCGCTGCTGGCCCTGAACCCTAGGGTTTGTGGTTTAGGGTTCCCTAAGCCCTCAACCCTAAACCCTGAAACCCTAAAAGAAAGAAAAGGGGGAGATTTGGATCCCACCTGTCCAGGACCCCCGAAAGAAGGATCTTAGTACATTGGGGTTAGATTGGACATCCCAAATTATTTCAAAGCAGGTTGTGTGGCTCAGTGTAATCAAAAGTAAATGCCTGAGCGCCCAAGAGGTTTTGGATTTTTCTTCCGTGTTTGTCAAAGCTTGAAGGTTGAATGAAGAGGCTAGTCATATATGAGTTGTAGGATCTTATTCTTGGTGTTGGGTTGGGTGAGGTGACTTCTATGGAAGGAGTCGTCGGTTTTAATAAAAGGGGCGGCGCACGGTTTTTGACCTGGCCAGCACACAGGCTGCAGATGTTCAGGTTGACTGGTCTGCTACGATTTCACAGACAACCAGGACCGTGAGAACAAGAATAAGTCCAGACAATGCTCATCCTTCTTGATGCTGGACGGTGCATTAGGTAAGATCAGCAAGATCACAGAGCTGAGAATATTAAGGGCGCCGCGGCGCCGCTGCGCCGCTATCAGGATCCTTCGGGACAATCGGTGATGGTTCTTGCTCGTCTTTGATACTCAATGCGTCTTTGGGTTGCGCAGCTTGCTTTGGATATAGTTCTTCGCCCCAATGCCCGTCATTCTGAAGCCGAATCCAATACCTCCCGCCAGCCCTGACATGATAGTCAATGATACTTGCGATGGCGTGGGTGATGCCGGCGCTGTTGGTGCCGGGTGGCGCTGATGGTGCTGGTTTCGCAGCTAGCGCTGGTTTCGCTGGTGGCACTGGTTCTGATGATGGCGATGGTTTCGCTGGTGGTGCTGGTGGTGGTGGCGGCAGTGGGGTTGGTGAAAGCGGTGGGGCGGTGGCGGCGGCGGCGGCGGCGGCGGCGGCGGTGGTGGTGGTGGTCGTGGTGGTTGAGGTG